GTAAAGAGTCATAATAATCAAATTTATTTATAAATAATATGTATAAGAGTTATGTATAAATAGATTATAACTCATTGCTTCAACATTTCAACTTTGAATCTCATTGCCAATGGCTGCTATTTTTATTTTATTTTTATTTTTTTAATATAAACATTAACAAGTTATGTGGGTGTTCATTTTAGAGTTTAAAGAACAACAATTGGCTCTAATCTAATGGATTACATATACTCCATAAGGTGAATAATAACAATTATTAACAACTGAATATTGACTATCAACTATCCATTACATCAAAACAATTGATCCAAATACCCCTATGTATTTTTGTGTGGTAACCTTTATTAATAGGTAATCTTTGGGTGATTTATTGCCACATCCTCAATTACTAATGTCACACCTTTTTATCTTAATTAACTATTATACCCTTTAATTTATTAAGACACAAAAAATGTAGAATTTAAAAAAAAAATGTAATGTAAGGGTATAATAAGTAATTATACTAAAAAGATGTGGTATTAATTATTTAGGTGTGACAATAACCCCACCTGTAATCTTTATACCAACATGTATTCATCGAGCATACGTATCTTAAATTTGGAATTTGATAACCTTCCTTAACTTTCTTGTAATGAAAAAACAAATGTTAGAAATGGGAAAAAAAAATGTTAAAAATGGTAAAAACTTCAATGCCAACCTATCTTGTTAGGATATGGTTATGATCATACACTATTTTGTTAAGATCACTTAAAAATTATTTAGTTTGATTGGTATTTTATTAATTTATATTTTTTTAAGTAGTTGATTATGACGATGAAAATATCAACTTATAAACTGATTTCAATATATTAAATAATAAATATTAATTATTAACTATTTTAAACAATCAAATTAAATAAAATTGTGTAACCTTAACATCATGGTGTGTGGTTATAACCACACCAACCTTGTTAAATTATTAGTAAGTTTTGAACTTGAGCTAAAATACATAAACATGTTCAAACTCATTTATGTGATCGATTTTGGTTTTGACTTGAGAAAAAAATTGAGAGTTTTATCTTTCAATTCAAATTGTACTTTTGAGTATTAATATTATGAAAGTATTCTTAATAAGTTAATATGATAAAGAGTTTTATTAAAGTTATTTTGGATAAATTTATAGTTTGTAGCATATAAAAAAATGCAATTCAACTTGAAAATTGAACAAAAAAACTTTTGGACTAAAACAGTCGGTAGATTATGCAAATCAACCTCTATACTTCACTTTAGGATAATAATCACTTCTCAACTTATTCAATTGACAAATAACCTCTTTAGTTATTGATACAAACAAATTAACCTTAATTTCTCATATGAAATCATGTGATATCATCAATTTGTTACTTATACGTTTTGTCTGCTTACCTCCATATGCCCCTTGTGTTTTTTTTTTTTTATCTCTACATAAAAATATTAATAGTAAAAAAAAATTAGACAAATAAGTGACAGATTAAAGTAAGATAATATCATTTGTGATATTCAACTTCAAGTGAAGTAAGGCAGCCTTTTTTTATTTTAGTAAATGAAACAAAGCAGCTGATTTGAATAATTTGCCAAAAGAGTACTAAGCAATCTCTTCCCCCCTTTTTCTTTTTTTTTGGGGTGAAAGCAGAGAAATTCCAAATTGCTTTTATTAAATTCGGCATTACACTATTTCCCGCGCTTACTACCGGAGGAAATCCGAAACTCAGGAAAAATGGAAGTAGAAACGGAAGACCCATGGGAAGCACTCGACCTTGACGATTCAGACCTCCCTTCTTTTCTGCCCCCTCGCAAGCGCAAACCCCAACTCTCTTCCCCCCCAAACCCCGAAAAATCCTTCGCCGAATCCCCATTTCTCCAACCCTGCTCTCTCCTTTCCGGACGAGCCACAACCCAAAACCCTCTCTCCCACCCACTTTCGCCGCACTCTGAATCGGAGCATCACATTCCAGGCCCTGCCGGAGCAGTACAGGCTGCAATGTTTCGGAAACGTCAGAATCCGGGCAATCAGGCTTACATTGGGGAAGAGCTCGTTGCTACTCAGGAGTACATTAGGAGGGCTGTGGAGGACCCTGGCGGCGAAGACGAGGATTTTTCACGGGATCCCTGGCTTGTCACTGTGGACTTTATTCGTCGTGAAGGTTTTTTTTGTTTCTTCCTATCGTGTTCATTGTTTAGGGTTTTGGTTTTCTCGGTGGTTCATACTTTGTTGCTTCCTTTGGTCAAAAGGTTTGGCGGATGGAGATGGAGGGGCAATTGGGACTCCCTTGAGTTCGATAAAGAATGGGCTTCCAATGTACAAAGTAAATCAGGTATGCTTAATTATGGATTTCATGGCCTTGAATTAGATGTGGACTATACATCTCACAGGTACAGTTGAAGATATTGGTCTTATGCAATGTGTAAAGTGCGTTTCAAGTTTGATTTTGTCAAATATTTTTTGGGTTTGTTTTAATCTCTTAACGTTAAATAATTGTGACCAGGTTGTTGCCATTGTTAAATCTTGCACCCCAAATGGCCTTGGTGATCTGATGGTGACCCTTAAGGTAAATTTACTAAGATGTGGCTTTGAATAACTATTGGCTTTTTGGGTTCATCTATATATGGGTTGATACCCTGCACTTGCGTAATACATGTGATGTGTCCATGTTTCAATTCAGGACCCTACAGATACAATTGATGCTAGTATTCATCGGAAAGTCCTTGTTGAGGGGGACTATGGAAAGGAGATATCAGTTGGCACTGTATTGATACTCCAGAAGGTTTTTCATTCTTTTGCAGTCAAAAGGAAATATTTTCATTGTCGTCTATATAGACCTCAGTATTATGTCATTGGCATCAAAACTGGAGTCATATTTCTATATATCTGGAGTAAAGTTGCTGGGACATTTTATCTGTAGAAGCTTATGTTGGGATCATCCAAGAGGTTGATTTATGCTTGGTACTTGCAGGTTGCAGTTTTTTCCCCATCGCCCTCTGTTCATTATCTCAATATCACAGTTGGCAATGTTGTTAAGGTATGCTTTCTTTATGTACTGAAAATTAGCCTCATTGACATTTACACTCGACTGGGGTCTAGTCATGTCCGTGTACTTGTTGGATGGATGTATTTTAAGTAAAGACTTCTGGTTGCACAAGGAATGATAAGGAAAAAATTCAAGTTATTTTCAATTGAGGTTGAGGTAGAAACTAGTTGAACACAATTAAAATAAGCAGGATTTGGGTGGTTCTGCTGCATGCAACTTAGGCGTTGGGATTCTCTGTTGTGCAATGAATGATTTAATTTAGGTAAAATGACTAAAAAGGGACAGACGTTGGCCAACAATTAGGTGGAATGAAGTAGGGAGAACGATTTAGCTTCTTCAGATTTTTATGCCCTTAAGTGTAGTTGGGGATTATGGCTTAGTTGGGTGAGTTTAGTGTTTGGCACCTTGAGGAATGGACAAAGGACTTGGTATATTTGTTTTTTATAATGCTTGAATGTTCATGCATGATGGAGAGTTTTATCATGAATTGGACAATGTATGAACAGAACTCATTCTCTCATATGTTGCCTCTGGACATCATGCAAAAGCATAAAATTCAATTTGTTGGGCATAGAATGCATCTGCTTTATCTTGTACTGAGTGTTCCTTGGTGAGCTGGAATGAGAATAACTGTTTCTCAGTATTTTAAATAATTGAAATTGTTTCTGTTGAACCCTTATGTCAATTGTTTCTGCGTCTGCATTTGGCCCACTTTTGTTATGTTTGTGGTCACAAGCCTAGTTGGTGAACGAACTTCTCAGTTTTCCCTGATCATGCTCTTGATTATTGGAGAATAAGAAATTTATCTATACTTTGATTCTGTTTTGCCTTTCTCTTTAGGAATGTGCAGTCACAATCCTCTTTATGTCCTCGTCCTTGGAGGACTGTTGAGTTCTGCTGTTTCTCTCCAAGCTTCTTGGTGATTTATCACATAGTAAAAGCATGTTAATATTAGCTAGAAGCTCTCAACAATAACTTTTTGTTGCAATATTTTCCATCTTCTGATCTAACCATAAACTCCTTATTTTTCTTAACCAAAGCCCATTAAGGTAGTGCTACCTTAGATTTCTTCAAATCTGTCATGCATCAGTAATATGTGAATTTACCTTGCTTCAGCTTGATTGCCAGATGGTCCTCTATGCTGTTTTATGTGTTCAGGTATAAATATATTTGCTGACTAATGTTTTAGTCAGAAAATAATATGAATGCTGTTAGAGTTATCCAACTTTCAGCTGCCAATGATTGTTCAAATGAATTAGAAAACACTGTTTTAAATTCTACCAATCATATTGTCTGACACTTCTAATTCTTCAGTGTCCTTGCATGTCTCGTTTACTCTCTCCAAAGTTCTTCGAGTATTAATTACATACCCTAGACTGAACTTTTAATGGATCTGCATATGCCCAAATATCTAGCCTATTGCATTTCTGGGTTATATTGAAGACATTATCTGTCTTTATCATCACTACTTAAGCTTTATGTTCATGCTAGCTGGTTGAATCACAAACCATGACTTTGTAGATGACTCTTTTTTCATTGTACAAGGATATGCTTGAACATAAGGGGGGCAATTAGAATTTGGTCTCACATTGTAAGTAATGCTTGCTAGAAGTTCACCATTACATTGCTTACATATCTATTCCACAAGAGATGCTTCTCATACAGATATGTTCAAGCTTTAAATTTTTGTTTCATGTTGAAACTTCTAAGGACCAACAGAATTATACATAGATACGTAATCTTCAATGAAACAGAGATTTCCAATATCTAGATCATGGCAATACATTAAGTCTATGTTTAGAGTTAAAAGAAAATCTGGTTGATTTCTTTATGCTAAATGCTGATATAGAAATGTCTACATTTTACAGGTTTTCTCGAAGGACAAGGGATTGCCATCCAGGCAGACAGCATCAACAGTCAAATTTGCAATTCATGGTTTTGGTACCTCATTAGAATTATTTATCAAATGGCTTCCTTTTTATTTTTCCCTGTCTGGGAAGAGATTGCATTGTGGTTTAGTTCTGTTTCAAAAACACTTGATGAAATTCTTTTTAATTTCATACTTTTTTAACCTTTTTTCTGTGGTAGTTGAGCTACATAATTGAAAGTTAGGTCAGCCTTTTTAACCTGTAACTGAAGTTTAAGCTTATATTACCCATGCCCCTCTCAGCCACCTTTACTACTTCTGATTCTACAAGCGATCGGTTCTTTGTGCAAGAACCGAGAAGGCCACTAGAATTATCCTTGTTGATGCCATAGCATTAAATAGCAATGCTTAATGTTACTCTTCCTGCTAATCCACTTTCATTATGACAGGAAACAGCAAACAGCCATTGGTTGAACAGGGAAGAAATGACGAAACCAGTTATAATCTCAGACAGGCTGCTAATGCAAGAGGGGGAGAGCAAAGTGATAAAGGAATTGAAGGAGATGAAAATTTGGGAAGCAGCTGCTGCAGTGATGGAAGCTACAAAAATCAAATTTCTGATGCAGGGAAGGAACCCTCATTGGTGAGACAGGATGTGGTCAATATAATGGATAAGGTAGGACTTGGACATCGTACCAACACTCATGACCAAGTGGCTATTGTGGGCAAGCAGGCCAGTGCAGGAAATGAGGCAAGCAGAGACAACCAATTGGATAACATCCAAAGCAGTGTGTCTGCAGCAAAAATGGTTGGGATCAATGATAAGCAAGAAAATGAAACCATACAGGGAGAGAAGCAGGGAAAACCACTAATGTCAAGAGGTGCACTCCCTCATTGGACAGATGAGCAGCTAGATGAGTTATTTGCAATGGAATGAGATGAGATGGCTGATGTTTGATCACATTCACTTCTTTACATTTTGATTTGCCAAAATTTTTCACTGTTGCAACTCAAAGTGTCACATTCTTTGTGGATAAGGACAGCTACATTAGTCTTGGAATGTATAGATCAAATTTAACTAGATTGTTTCAATCTTTCAGCATGAAAATGCTTTAAAAGGAATGCAAAGCGCGGACATTTCATTGAAATGAGTGACGCTAAATGGCAGGGCTTTTTTCCCCATATGAGGTGATTGAATTTCTTACCTTAATGGCGCCGGGCAAGCTTTGGTTGGTTAGGGGCAACATTGCAACAAATGAATATATGTGTGTGTGTGTATTTGGTGGCAATACAATCATGCACTGGCTCGAAGTCTATAAATACCTTGAAGATCTTCTACCATTCTTTGCTTCACCTTTGGTGGTGGATCATTAAAAAAATGCCAACCTTTGCTCAGGTAGTTGAGTTTTAAGGTCATTACATCCACACAAGAGCTAGCTTCATGGAGCACATGCCCGATCTCACGTTGTAAATTTCTCTGAATTAATTATTGGCATTTGGTTATTCAGCTTCTATGAGGATCATACCGAGTTCCACCATGGCTGATCTTGTGTACAGCTAATAGGGAATCAGACTCCACAATAACGCTTCTTAATTGCCTTTGCCATGCCAATTCCAGAGCTCTATGGGTAGCATCGATTGCAACAAATAAATATTGGGAACAAAATTCAATTACATTTCCTTCGGAGGGATATTGCTTACAAGGTTAGGAACTATCAGTTCACTTTCAGGCCTGCCAGGGACGTCTTAATAAGAATTTAAAACTTTAAACTGAAGCCCAACTTTAAATCATGATTCCTCACACCAAATCACCAAATGTATTATTAAAAAATTGTCCAACTTTTTTTTTTTTAACGAGGGCAATTTGAGAGAAAAAAATATCGTCTATATAATTTAAACACACAATTCATAAGAAGTAATTTTTACTTGATAAAAAATCTCACCTACTAGACCAACGCGTGAGGATAAAAAAAAAAAAAATTGTCCAATTTAAAACACAACTGCCGTGCATGATTGATTTGAAAAGGCGCAATACTAATTACCCAAAAGACAATTATTTTTTCTTCTAGATAACTAGGTAAAATACTTGCAAATTTTTAAATCAACAAGCACTGCTTCAAGGATTATGGCCCAGGTCAATTGAAATTGTTTGTACCTGAATTGCTTTAGAGTTTCGAATTTTTATTCTTAATTTCGTTCAAATAACTCTTAGAACTTAATCAACCCCAGTGAGATAAAGAGGGTTCATATTAATAATTAACAAATGAGATTCTTGCATTTCCCAACTCTTATTAACTGAATGTAACTGGCGAAGAACAATTGCAAAAGATGGAAGATCGTAGAAGGCATTCTATGCAAAAAACTCAACTTGATCCTGCTGGTGGATATAATATTCTAGAAAACCAAAATTGGACTATACTTACAAATTTTGATAACTGCTCAGATCAAACAATGAAATCTTTTCAGACCTTCACAAGGTGTAGACTGTCCTGAATCCAAAATATGTTTTAAAGAACCCTTGTGTTTGAGGCAATTGATAGAATTTGGTCCCCTTAATGCAGCAGAATCAATTAAGCTGCAAAGATGAGACCTAGATCTCTGACACCGTGGTGAGAAAAAACTAGATCATCTTCGTTCAGCTACTGAAACACCTTCCTTAATCTCTCAGAAGAAACGGCTGCTCTTTTATTGGTGGGCTCAAGGACCAATGCATAGTTAAAATCTGCATGGTTAGAAGTCCCATTAGTCCCAAATTTCCATTTTTTCTTTTGATTTATGCATATGCCTCAACTAAGAGAGAAAAATAAAAAACTCACCCTCAATTGCCTCCTTGTAGTAACCAAGCATCTCCCTAGCGGTGCCTCTCCTTAAATAGGCCTTTACATTCTGTGGAGAATAACAAAAGACAAGAATATGTTATGCCAAAAGAGATTGAAGTACAGTGATAAGATTCTTAAGGGAATACAAAATCCAATTTGCCTATATGTCAACACAAAAAAGGTGTTGCATAATCCAGACTACATAATATAAACCATTAGATGGGGGGTGGGCAACTGCACTACTTAAACTAAAAGGCAGACATTTTTGAGTAGAGACAACTAAGACAACTGCTTTTCAGAAAGCTGAGTATTGGCAAAGTCATATTATGGATCAGCGCACTTGAATCAACACAGGATGGCACTTTATGATTATGAAAAAATAGTTGCAAACAGAATCAATTAATAATAAGTATTCTAGGATTGACTCTTGATGGGACGATGATTCGAGGACAAGATGATCAAAGAAGTATAGGAAGACAGAAATGGCAAAAATATTTTGTCAATAGAATTATGCAATAAAACAGAGATTTATCTGTCAAAAGAAGCATACCTTTTTATCAAGCTCAATAGCTTTGGTACAATCTGATTCAGCTTGAAGGTAACTGCATGGAAAGAAAAAATTTGTCAACCCCAGAGCCATTCATCATCATATCAATATTAACTCTGAAGAATAAAATATTACCTTCCAAGCTCAAGATATGCTGCTGCCCTGTTGCTGTAATAGGTTGCATTATTGCCACTAAGTTTGATAGCTTCAGTATAGAACCCAATAGCCCTTTGCCACTGCTTCTCCTTGAATGCCTGATTGCCCTGATTAATAAAATTAGAAAACAAGAATAATCATTTAGTTAGTTAACATGAAAATACAAAAAACAACAGCCAGACTTAGAATTACAATATTGTTCTACACATTAGACAACATGATACAAAGATACATACAGAATTTCCAACTGCACAAAGCCCTCAACAAGAATGCACGGAAGCCAACTAGCACCCTCCTCCAAAAACCAGAAGGTGTTGCATGTGTATCAGTATCAGAGGTTTCTTTTGCTTAAGGAACTTAATAAACTACATTACTTCTGTAGTTTTCAAAACGAATATTTTATGCATTATGAAAGATAAAACTGTGTGATAAATTGTACTACTATTCATGATTATTATATTTTTAATTTGATATTTTAGAATTTAAGGTTTTTAGTGATGCAATTTAGTTTTATTTCAGTTATTTCTGATTTTAATAGTCTCCTATTTCATTTAATCTAGCATTAGAATTTATTATGCCTTTCTTATTTAGAAATCCTACCAACAGTATGATTGGTGTTTTCACGCTTTAAATATCCATTATATACCTTAGGAAGTAGTTTTGTCGTAATGGAGAATTAAAAGTTGAGAGTTTTGCTCCCCTATATCCACTAGGGACATGCCCTAACTCTTGAGCTAAGATAAAAAGATAAAATAAACATAAAAAAAGACTAAATAACCCTAAAAAGTCTTATTCTAGCTCCCAAGTAAGCTTCTCATCACTGGAAATGTGTCATGTTAGAAAGAGGACATTAGACCAGGTTTGACATGCCTTTCATACACTTTTAGAGGGTTCTGCCAGCATGCTCCATCATCAGAGCTGAAAAATGAAAAGCTCCTTTTGCACGTTACTTGAATGCCAAAGTCAACTATCCTAAATCATCGTAACAATCAACAACGGGACAATCAAGTACATAGAATTCTAACAACTGTCAAGACAGCATAAATGAAAATTTTAGAATGGTAAAGAGAAATAGTTCAAGAGCACTGATACCTATCAGTCATCTAAAAGAACATTGACATGCCAAAGATAACCCTACAAGGACAATTCTAAGCCACATTAAAGAAAAGTTATATCATAGTATATTACTTACATATTAAAAATGAATTTGCAAAAAGTTGGTCACACAAAGACACTAAGTTTCAAGGCATCACCAACATAAAATAATGATACAAAAGCCAAGATATACGAGTCAAAAGTTACTGAGTAGCAGAGAAAAATGATGACTGACCTTCTCTTTTGCCATCTCAGCAGATTGTTCCTGGTTCACAACATTACGTGATGGTTTTGACTTGGCAACAGCATCAACCTGTTCTTGTAGAGAATGATACATGGTCTGCACTGTATCCAGCAAAAAGCGATCACCACCATGCCTGGCTATGAGAGACACAGAAACAGGGCATTTTTCATGATATCCAAGAGGTAGAGTAACCTGAAACATAAAACAAACTTGATAAATTAACTGTAAGGGAAAAAAAAAAAAAAAAAAACCAACTATATTCTAGTAATGTAACATCCTATACCAATACACAATAGATAAGATTGTCAGAGATTCACCTGACAGCAACCTGATATGCTAGCAATGCTCAAAAGGCTAAAAAGATGGTTCTGGTAATCCTCTGAGTGGATCTCCTTGCTACCAAGTTTTGGAGGAGGATAAGCTGTTGTAGGAATGACCAAAATACCATCATCCTAAGCAAATTCCATGCACAAAAAAGAACCATCAATGAATGATCCAGGAAAAATAAGTTGGCAAAACACTACAAACATGTGCAGCATGCATCAAATATTCCTATCACAGAAGATTGGTTTCTGTTACAGAATTACACAAATCTCTAAACAGATGGAATGAAAATTTTGCCCATAAGAACTTTAAACAATTACTTATAGGATACACAAAAGTGTGAAAAATGTGAGAAAGACAGAATGATCAATTCAAGGACTCCTCAATTTTCATGCTCATCATCCTAGAAGAACAAATATATACACATGAATCCCAGCTGAAAAGCATGAGCTCCAATATAAGACTTAAAGGGTATAAGGAAAGCACAACAATCCAGAGGCTTTCATTAATGCAACAGTCATGTCAATCAGCAACTTCTGATGTACCTTTTATTGATTGGATTGGGCAGAGGGAAGTGAAGGATGAATTCTACCAAACTTTTGGATTGAACTTAAAATGTATGTCAAAAATGATACAGATGAGGAACATTATTAGCCTCTAGTCATCTAGAAGCTAAATTGACTAGTAGAGATTCAGATAAGGAACATTAACTTCTATCCGCAGCTTGAACCCAAATAAATTTTTGCCTGCAATTTGCACCATTGACTTCTTAAAAATCAGCAAAAAGCAGAAAATTGGAAAAAAAAGGAACATGCATGCACATGACTGTTAACTTCAGTTAAGGCACACTGATGTGGCATTATCTTTTCCAAATGGCACAGCACAACAAAGGCAGGTGCTTTTTTTCCTCATCACAAATGTGATTAAATAAAATCAATAAAACTAAAATTAGAAACAAAAAGGTCAAGAACACTCTTATTCTTCTCCTCTCTTTCTCTTATTTTCCACTTTCCCTTCATGACTTCATCTCCTCC